GTATGATGGTTATCACAAGAGTCCACAATTAAGGTTGCATAGTGGAATGTAAATGTTCATTAAAATTGTTAAAATATAAAAAAGAAAAGTAGGTTCTTATTTTGTGAGAAACGTTGTATAAAGTGTTGGAACTATACCAGTGAAGAAGAGACATAGTCCCTTACTGTTTCCTGGATCAGATGCTCACTAATTAAGTCATTACCCAGGTAATTAATTATGCCTGTAGTAACTGTTGTGGAGGAGTAGTTGAGGAAGATAGGATAGCATGTAAATGGGGTATTAACCTGTTCTTAGGGACCAAGCAAGCCCTCGCTGAGGATGTGAAATAGAGGGATGTGAAAGCAGATGGCCAAGCTCTGGCTGATCCTGGATCTGGTGTTCCCCTCTGGTTCAGGGTTCTCCACATGGGGACTAGGTGGGAAGGCAGTAGAGTCATGGTAAGCTTCCTGCTAGCCCTTCCTCTCAGCAGGGATTAAGCAGGAAGCAGTTCCCAGAAACAGGCACTGTGGGTTGGGCTTCCTTTGTGGCGCATCAGCCCCTCATTTGTCAGTTTGCATTTCTCCTTTCAGGGATGTTTGCACTCGCTGTGTCTTTATTTATTTCTATTTTTGCCACGTGTGATTTGAGAGAAAGTGGTGTCTGCTCACGCGTGTGGTTTCCATGTTCTCAGCGTTGCTGTGTTAATGTTATTTCAGATAGAGCTGCAGTGTGAATGTGGAAGAAGAAAAGAGATCATGATTTGCTCTGAAGCATCCAGTACTTATCAAAGGTTAGTGCTGACAATTAAGGATCCTCCATGAGGAACAGAGCTCTGGTGGCTGCGCTGCCATCCCAAATGCACACGGTTTGAATCTGCCACCTGCTCTGCAGAAGAAAGATGGGCTGAATCCTTCCATGAGATTTACAGCCTCTGAAAACCCTTCAGAGGGTCACCTGTGAGTCATTTCTGACTCGGTGGTACATAACAGCAGCACATTTTCTTAAGGTGCAAAATTTTTTTTTTTTTTTAAGGTGCAAAATTTTTAAAATCCATTTTTTAAAAGCTTTTTCCCCTAGCTGAAGGAAAATGGGCTGCTTCATGACCCAAACCTGATTTTAATTGGTAAAATAACTTCTTTCTTTCTCTTCCTCACACATTGCCTAGATACCATAGAGACTGGGGAGGGACTTCTTGTCACTTGCTGTGTAGCTGCTGGAATCTTAATTGGGGAGATGTGGTAGTTCATAAAAGACAGACTCCCAGGGTCACACAAATTGTTGTATGATGAGTTCACTGTGGAAAAGGCCTTCCATGTCCCTTATAATTTGAAGTTCCTAGAAAATTGCAGTGCCTCCCCCCTTTCTTTTGTTTTGTGGTAAGTCTATACATAACAGAGCATTTAACCACTTTACCATGTCCATTTGTGCAGTTTGGGGATCTAAATGACATTCATCATGTTGTGTAACTCTTGCCACTATTTGTTTTTAAATGTTTTTGTCATCCTTCACAGAAGCGGCTCAGTTCTCCCTGAGCAGTAACACCTTTCCCCCTCTCTCCCACCCTTGGTAACCGCTCCTGAAGCTTTAGTTTCATTACAGTTACCTGTTGTAGATATTCCGTGTAAGTGGAATCAGACATTATTTGTCCTTTTTATATATATATATTTTTTTTATTTTATTATTTTTGTGTGCATGTACCATCAGATCAGATCTGACTGGTACAGGAGGAGATTGCCCCTCCTTCCCCGGCAGAACATCTGGTGGATTCAAACCGTGCACCTCTGGAATTGTAGTTGCAGCTCCTTGCCACTAGGCCACCAGAGCTTCCAATATTTGTCCTTTTGAGGCTGACTTACCTCAGTCAGCTTATTTCACAGTGTATCCATGTCATAGCATATATCAGGACTTACTTCTCTTTACGGCTTAGTAGTAAACCATTATATGTATGTATGTATGTATGTATGTATCACATTTAGTTTCCTGTTCATCTCTTGGTGGACACTGAGTTTATTTTCATCTTCTGGCTACTTCAGCAGTGTTCGCATGAATCTTAATGCACAGGAATCTGTTTGTATTCCTGCCTTCAGTTCTTTTGAGTGTACACCTAGGAATAGGATTGCTGGATTATATAGTAATTCTTCTAAAGTTTTGAGGAACCTTCAAACTCTTTTCTGAGCACTGTACCTTTTAGCAGTTCCACCATCAATGATGAGGGTTCTAGTTTCTCCATATCCTTACCAACTGTCTTTATTTTTTATATTTCAGAATAGCCGCCATTTCCATGGCCTCTAAAATAACAGATATGCAACCTGGAGATTCAGTGGAAATCAGCAAGTTAATCACCAAGAAGGAAATTCACCAAGCCAGGTAATTTTAAATATGTGTATCTGTCTTTGTGCCCCTATTAGATTTGCTCTCTAGAGGTCAGGGACCACTCACTTATTTCTGACTCCCATAGTCAAACCTTAACACACACAAAGTGTAAGTGTTCAGTTGGCACTTCATGTTAATACAAAACATTAAAACATTCACTCCAATCCCAACAGAGACAACAAAGGGACAGCTAAGTCTAGAGGAGGGAAGGGGGAGAGGCCATGGCTTAAGGGTCATGAGCTTCTGTCAAGGGTGATGAAAACATTGGAAGCTGATGGTAATTATACAACATGATGAATGGAATTGTGCCTTCAAATTATACATGTAAAAATGGCAGACGTCTTGGTTTGGGGTTTTGTTTTTCTTTTATGACAATCCTACCAAAAGCAAATCTATGTGTTTGTTTGGTTTTTTAGTTGTGATATTAACAAAAGTTTACAGAAAAGTTGGATTTTCATTCATTCATTGAAGCACATTTCCCTCCCTAACCAACCCCCCCCCCCAGTTTACTTTTAAAGAAAAATATTCATTCCTTTTTGTATTGGTTTTTACATACGTAATTGCCATAATTTTTTTGTTTTTAAGTTTCTTGCGCGTGCACACATACACACAAAGACCAGAGGAGATATTTACAGAGTCACCCTAGTCAGTAGCCAGAGGACAGTCAGAGACCCAGACGTGTCGAGCCCAAGCTGTGGGAGGAGAGAGGCAGAGCGGGGGGTGTATCTAGAGTAGTGGGGCTGACAGAGTGGTACCTGGAGAGTGTTGGGGGCTGAGCAGCCTGCTAACTCTGAGGCGTCTCTGAGAGGACTCCCCTGACTTGAGGCCTCTCTGAGAGGACTCCCCAGACTTGTTCTCAGGAGGACCTTCATCCAACCCTGGGCTCTGGTCCGGGGAAACTGAGGGGATTACCAGGAAAAGGTACTGGCAGGGCCCCGAGAGTAGGGACCTTGCAGACTGATCTTGAACTAAGAGCTCAAGTCCTTTGACAAGAATCTGCCAAATCCCCTGGGGCCTAAGACCGTGCATATGAACTATGAAGACTGTGCTCTGACCGCATTTTTTTTTTTTTTGGTTTGCTTATCAAGGCTGGAATGTGATGAGGAGTGTTCAGCCCTGGAAAGGAAAAAGTAAGTCCTTTCAACAACTTGTTATCTATTTTAACTTGTTATCTATTTGAACTTAATGGGAGGGAGCAGGGAGCAGTCTCTTCAGGCACTTAATCAGCACCTGCTCGGAGTTATTCTTGCTATTGAAGAGCAAGAGAGATGCAGCATCAGGAACTGATGAAGTGTCTAAGGATGAATCACTTAGGTGATTTTAGCGTATTTCAGAGACATGAGCCTATGTGGTTTGGGGTTAGGGTGCATCAGCTGCCACGTCATGCTGATTCAGTGACTGGCAGACTTTCTGATCCCAGCAAAGATACTAAAACACACTGCTGTTAATTCAGAACTGACTCAGCTGATCCCCTAGCGGGTTTTCAGAGGCTGAACATCTCACAGAAGGAGATTGATCCTCTTTGTCCCCCGAAGAAGCTAGTGAATTCAGATCGCCGCAGAGCTCCCTCAGCAAAGATTAGAGGTTCAAAAACAATTGTATGAAACTTTATTATAATATCTTTTCTTTGTGATTTGCTTGGAAGTTTACAGTGTAAGTTGGTGTTCTGTTTAATTAAGTTGGTGTTCTATTTAATTATTCACACAGTTGATGCATCATTGATTGTAATCTCTACGATCCAATAGCACTGCCCACTTCCTCCCTTTCCATTAGTCCCTCTCCCCTCTCTCTTCTTGCCTTCCCAGCAATGCTTTCCTTTTGATTTCTCTGATTGGTTGTTCTAGGGAGTGCATACCCCCCAGGTGTCATTGTCCACCCTGTCAGCCTATCTGTTGTTGCTGACTGTTGAGACCCAGGATGACTCAGGCTGAGCCCCAGTATTGATAAGTCTAAGGGCCTTTTTAAAAAAACATTTTATTATATTTTTCGTGTATGCCATCAAATCAGTTCTGACTAGTACAGGAGGAGATTGACCCTCCTTCTCCAGCAGAGCATCTGCTGGGATTGCAGTTCTGCTTCTTGCCACTAGGCCACCAGAGCTCTCTTTAAGGGCCATTTTTGTATTGAAGTACAACGTGTGGATTAATTCAGAAGTGTATAGAATTATCACAGAATAAATACAGTGGTGATTCCTGGTCAATATAAAAAACTAAAATGTTACCAGGACCTTCTGTTACATTCCCATCTTCCTCCTCAACAATCAAACCTCAATCCTGACTTCTGACTTTACATTAGATTAGTTTGGTTTTGTGCTTTGTGTAAGTGATGGAATCATACAGTTTGTATTATTTACATCTTTTTTGATATTCCTCCTGTTGTGGCAAGTAGTGGTTTGTTCACTTTCACTGCAGCTTGTATTTTATTGTATTAATGCACCACATTGTATCCATTATGCTGTTAATATGTATGTGTTATTAATTGAGCAATGACAAATAATGCTACTAGGAATATTCTTTTGGTTAGCAGCACCCTACAGACTAGGCCATCAAAGTTCCTTTTGTTAAGAACATTCTTATACTTCTTACTCATTTCTGATGGCTATAAACTGAGACATGGAATTTCTAATTAGTAGGATAGTGTATCTAGTTTCAATAGATTCTATCAGTTTCCCAAGTGGCTGTGATGGCCTAATGTTAAGAAGCTACACTGCAATTCTGAATGCACACAGTTCAAAGCCTCCAGTTGCTCCCGAGGAGAAAGATGAGTAATCTCCTCCCAAGCAATTAACTGCCTCTGGAAACCAGCCAGAGGGTAGCTGTGGGTCAGTTCAGACTCAGTGGTACACAAAAACAACAAACACCAGTAGTGTAGTCATTCCAGTTGCTTTGCATTTTTTCCTCCCATTCTGTAGCTACACTTTTCACTTTAATGGTGTTTTTGATGAGTTTTCATGCAGCTCACTTTGTTAGCATTTTTTGTAGATCTGCAGTTCACCTGGGCTGATTTATTTTGAGTCCAGTATAAAGAAGGCTCACTGTTTCCTATAGGAATCTCCATTTGCGCAGGGCCTTGCCTTCTTGGTGCTCTGCACTGTGTCCTAAGTCACAGTTGTTAAGACCTGTATCATAAGTCACAGTCAGAGGGGCACTGTTTCTGGACTCAGGCTGTCCCTTTGTGCCAATATCACACTGACTTCATTATACGATGGTAATACAATGATCCTCACTGTGTAGAGATTCTTAATTGCCCCGTGACCTAAACAGGGAGATGAAAATGTCAAATTGCAGATACATAATTTCAAAATAATACCTTCGGGTCCCAACTGCCAGTCATGGCAATCCAAACATTCAGCCCAGTGAAATGTTTAATTGATATTAAAATTTGAGTGACCAAAATTTTAAGAGATTTCTCTCTAAGAATTATCTTGAAAAATTGGAAAATCTGGCAAAAAATCAACCAAACTCATATGGGCATTGAATTTGCAAGGGACCCCTGTCTCAGTGTAAATGAGAAGTGTGCTGAATTCTCTCTCTTTTTTAGAAAAAGAAAAATCTCCTATCTGGTGTCAGTGAGATGCCGTGAGCATGTGCCACTTAAGGATGGTCAGGAGTCTACCCACTAATCCTACAACTGGAAACATTTTCCAGTAAAATAAATTAAAAAGCTGTTTGCGGGGAGCTCTGGTGGCCTAGTGGCAAGGAGCTGCAACTACAATCCCACAGGCACACGGTTCGAATCCACCAGATGCTCTGCCGGGAAAAGGAGGAACAATCTCCTCCTGTACCAGTCAGATCTGATTTGAC